TCTAAAATTTCTGATTCGAAGTTTTTGAATAAAGAGTGCTAGGTAAGTCCTCTGTCATCAGTATTCCAACTTTTATTTTCGCAGCAAATTAGTGACGCTGTTATGTATCATTTAAATTGTCATTAAAGAAACGGAGCGACGCTTCTTACCGAGATTAGTTTTGGATCAGAAAATGAATTACATTAGAACAATTTTTTGCTTAAAAAAGAAGTCTAATGCTAAAAAGCTACCACAAGATGTATGAGTTTTAAAAACCAATGAATGCTCTGCAACTGATGCAACTAAACACTTTATAATGTCCTTTCAGATTTTTGGCAAAGATGCGGAATGCGTTATTCGAAAATGGCTGCTGTCAAACATAGTGTATCCATTCAACTGCACTTTAGCCTACTTAACGAATATTGGGCATCTTCCAGTAACAAATGGTGTATGCAAGCCTGATGTTATTGCAGACAATTACTATAATAATGTTCAATTAGTTTGGAATAGCGCAAATGTTGATGAAGAGGTGGGACTGTAGAAAGTTAAGTGATTATCTTCGAAAATCAACTTTCTGTAAACATATTTTGAGTTATTTACAGTGTATACCTGGTTGCCATCGTTGGGACTATCAAACAGCTCTCCAGCAAAGTCAAACACTTATTCCCTTTTCCGACTACACATTCAATCTAGAAGCTTCGTTCAATGATTTGCAGGTAAATGCATTAGTTATTTTCTAAGGATGATTCACTTATATTGCGTAAAAAATAAGTTGGGACATTTCAGTACGAATATGTGAGAGAAGTTTACACGACATCGGTACCAGGGTTCATGTCCCAGATAGGAGGTTTGTCATAAATTGAAAAAAGTCATCATTCCTTGTCTTCATTAGGACCCAACTATTTTTTCCCATAAGAAAAATGTCATAGATGCACCATACGCATTTCGGTCATTTCAGGACAGTTCGGGTTCTTTCTCGGCCTGTCAATCATTACCCTTCTGCAAATGATACTCTATGCTCTCCATTTTATGC